CGATAGCAGCTAGCTAAACCTTACTATTCGTCGATTTTCTCAAAGTTTCAAAAAATTGTCCAACCAAGCGTCAAAACACTTCGGAAGCTTCTTACAGAGCTATGGCCAGCGTATAATCCATTTGAGGATACGTTTAAGGGCATGGTCAACCGGAAGGCTTGGTGATTCAGTGTTTTGTAGTGTTCTCTGGGACTCTCGCACATACACACTATTACAGCATCTCTGCTTTCTTTCCCTCCTTCGAAAGGCTTAGTCCCAGCATGTGCTTTTCTGTCTGGACTCGCACACGTTGGTTGACCGCTGCCCCGTAACCGCTTTGAAGGCGATGGCTACTTTAGATTTCTCGCTTGCACCGATGTTTTCAAGCACGAGCTGGCCCTTGAAGAGAAGATCTGCTCTAAAATACGGAAATTGGAACCCATTCCATGACGCGCTTCCGTAATTCCAAGGAAGAACTCTGAAGGATAATACAGGCGTGCGGTCTATACCGATGGCGCTTGCCAAACGGTCTGAAGAAAAGTTGGATGCTCTATAGACCGACGTTTCAAGAAGGCAATCATAACATATTTTGGATTGTACATCTCCTTTCCACAAATTGAAATTTATGGGTTAAAATAATAAGTGAAGTTAATACGCTGAATGCAAATTGAACATGTGGTGCACCATTAATCCCCACTCTGTACTACTGAACTGCGTTGATCCTGTCTATTAAATTTTTGAAGAATTAAGACGGCTGAGCTGACTCATTTTGTGTCTGCATGGTTTTCATCTGAAACCCTCCGAATCTTCTTATCACCCATTTCTCAACTCCAAAAGCTAAGCAAGTGTTGCTGTGAACAAAGGGACTCCAATAGATCCCAAGAATTTTCCGCTTTCATTTTGAAACCCTTACTTTTTTCAATACATTCATAACGTTTCTGGTCGATACCGCACGAATAAAGAAAATGAATCCATCATTTAAAGGCAAGATTCAGGATTGAATTATGAGTTAATTCCACTTAAATGTGAAAGTAGGGGTAGGTAGTGGACCGCCAGTGCAGAAAAGAGAAAAAGAAATCGTGAAATGCTTAGGAAATACGAGCCATTTCCTCTACGGTGCGGAGAAGTTCAAAAGGCCGGCAGGGAGATGAGAGATAATGTGAGCGCGGAGAGCGCTAGAGAAGTCTAAGTAGAGAGAGCATAGCAGATCAACCGACGACGCAGTCAAGATATCGAGCGGTGGGCGGAGCGTGTCGCAGCAGGTGGAGCGTGTCAAAGTTCTTAGAGCCTAGCGTCTAAATAACGGTTTTCGAAGTAGGGAAGTGACGCGACCCATACACTTGCGTGCCTAGCGCTTCTAGCCACCGTAAAGGCTCATTAAGTGGGTCTGAGCCCGAACTTTGCCTTTAAAATGTAACATAATCAATGAAGACATAATAAAAACCAATTTATCTGTCTGTGGCGGAAAATTTTATTCACGTGTATTCCATGTGCAGAGATGAGTACGAGTATGAGCAGATTACATATTATATCTATTCAACAAGAAAAAACCCTTGAAAGAAACATAGAAAAAAACGGGAGAAAGAAGTTACGAAAATCATAATTTATGTAACTATAGATATTCCGTTATTATCAAACTGTATATCTCACTAAATACTTATTATGTATACATTTAAAGGCCTGAGGGAGCTTGAATTTTGGACAGACGCACACAGAGAAAAACATATCTCGATTATTTCCAAACAAGCACAATAAAATTATTAGTTTTAGTGCATATATATGTAATTAGATCAAAAATACACAAATACGCTACAGTGTCACTACTATTACACATATTATTACAGATGTTATTTCGCTTACAGTATTAATTGTTATAGTATTCAATATTGGTTACTGAAGGATTATAATCTTATTTACTTATTACTTATTATAAATGCCCTTGTAATTTATACCGCCTGAAGAAGGTCCTACACGCGCAGAAACCAATTCTTCCCCTTATTATTTATTTACTTATTTTTATCCATTCGTTGTTTTATTACCTCCTAAGAAGGCCTGTACGCGCGGAACAAATTCTTCAATGTATTATGAATAATTATAATCGTAACGCAGCACCTGCTTAACAAAAAATGGTTGGCAGAACTAACCAGGAAAGGTCATTAGGCCAACCCGGCCAAATGAAATGAGGTGCACATTTCTGTACGCAGCATGAGACGCTGAACTCAAATCTGCTTTCATTATCTGCTGAACTCTTCTCTGAAAGGAGTTACGGAGGGTTTTTGTTGCCGCCCTTGATTTTCAGTGTCTTGCCTGCAATCACATGTTAGCTCCATTATAAAAGTCACGAGGAATCAATGTGGTGAGTTCGGTGGCGCTGTTTGTAAGGTCCTGCTTTTCTTGCAAGGGATGCGAGTTCGGTCCCTCCGGGTTTGATGTTTTGCTTTTTTTCAACATAGGCTGAAAAGCCTTTTTGAATCTGTTATTTTATCAACGGTCGCCCGACGCTACATCTACGAAGAGTTTGCAAGCAGATCCTCTTAAGTTTAAGCACTACTTGTCTGTGAGTGCCCATGGTGCCCGTAGTGCAGGTGCTATGCTTTTCCGTGGCAAGTAGGTACGATATTCGTATTCAGGGGATCAAACTACCCCTAAAACGAGTTTTTCGCCAAATCTGAGGTGAGGTCATGAACTAATTGAGAAAAAGCGGAGCAGTGATGGGATTACCACTCCTCAAACTCCACTTTTTTGGGTTGACCAATCATGGACGACGGGGGAAAGGGAGAGAAGGTGTTGTATTAGGAAATAATGCTTTGCAGATCTTTGGATGATGCAGACGGGCAAGCCAGACACAATTTTTGTCTATTATGAAAAGTGTTTAAAGGTTTATTCTAAGTGCCAGCCTTTTGTAATGGATTGGTGGATCGGTGAGTGACTGCCCAAATTTTCGAGGTTAGGTCAAAATTTCAGAATTCGCTAGAAGTTTGCTTAAAGGGAGAGTCTGGCTCCCTGATTACGAATATCATACTTGTTCGAAGCAAAAATGCCTGGCGCCTGCGCTACAAGCGCCCAAAGTAGTGAGGAGCGATGCCGCCCAAGTTCGTTATTAATTGCCCTTAAATTCTTTGTACTGTTAACTATACGCAAGCATGTTGGACTAGCGATGTTAGGAATCTTCCTAGCTATCTTACTGCAAACGGCAAAAGAACAAACTCGCCAGGGAGTCGATCCCCTGACCTCTTTTTCGTGAGCCTCGACCACAGCCCCTGCGCTTTTCTGCTTCATAATTCCTTTCAGAGAAGAGTTCAGCAGATAAGGAACACATATTTGAGCTCAGCGTCCCAAGGCGCGTATACACATATACATCTCATTTCAAATGGCCATGGCCGGGTTGACCAAATGACCTTTCCTGGTAAGATTAACTGTTCTTCCAGTTTCTTAAAGTTGATTCTAGGCTACAATTGCTGTTTTGAAGAAGATTTATTCGAAGAGTACTCGACTCATTTTATAACTGGGATAGTGCCTGTAACCGCCACGTGGCCGCTCATACACGTATCGCAACCGATTCCGGATCTTGGCCCAGCGACCGCGCCCAAGTCCCCCTCCCTCATACATTGGTTCGGTCTAGCTGTACACCAAGTCTCTATCTGTCGGAATTATAACACTTTGGCCCATGCAGCCCATATGCGGTCATTCTGTCCACACCGTGTAGTACCTTAACCATATTTTCTTGAAACCAAGCACCATTCTTCTTTGTTTTCGTTCCTTCCATTTCATGTCAATAGATTTCGTCTAGATCACTAAAATATGTGTTTTGTTACTTTAATTTGCTCACTGGACCCTTAAAAAATTCAACCTACAGTCCCAGCGCGGCCGAAGAACCGTAAACAGGCGCGTTCCAACGTGTTAAAATACTAACTTGCATAATTCCGAGCTGGGATTCCTTTCAATTGAGTAGGTTAAAGCTTTCCAAAAGCCACCGCTTATATTTGGATAAGGCAGAGTGCGTGGCAAAATTAAAAAGGACTAATGAACCCAACTCTTTGCATCTCTTTTATCCTTTTTGCGAATCCTTTACTCAGAAGGTTGTACTTCTGCTGCTCCGTGAAAGAAGAGTGCGGAATATCATATTGAATACGATGTTAAATACAGTGGCAAACCCGAAACGGAGTGGTGTTCTGAATTAGCGCGATTGCGATATCCGCGAGCAAAGAATCGTCATGAGCGAGCATCCATTCCCCTGTTGGAACGCTATTTCTAGTAAGAAGCCATATGGCTAGCGCAATTTCAGCGATTTGAAGTTAATAGAATAATAGGCGCACTCGCAAGATACGAAGAGCATCTTCTATTACTAAACCTAGGAGAAGGGCAGGAGCTTCGGTGAACACAAAAATTGCTTATGCACCCTGAATTATCTCCTCCTATGCCTAGGGCTCAGTCCCGTTTTTACAAAAATGGTGAAACTCCAGTTCGGGGGGGCCACTCCATTGCTATCTTATCCGTAGTACTAGAGAGCAGTTCTTTGGGCTATCGAACACTACGGATAAGATAATAAGTGAACGACTCATTTCGAGCGTACTTTTGATAAGGACCGGTGGATGTCCTACATTCCACACTACCTGCCCACATCCCATCCACTTTTCTGCACAGGTGATCCACCCTGGAGCTCCTGCACCCTTAGCCCTTTGCGGAGGTGTCCTTTCTCCTGGTCCAGGACCGTTCCCTTGGGTCATGGCAGGCGGAAATGTGAAAACGTTTCAGGGTTTCTCACCCATTACACCAATATTTATCAGAAGTCTACTTTAAATGAGTCGATTACGTGTCGTGAGCCCTCTAATCCTTATCTTGAGTATTGGAGAAAAAATGGAGTGGCCCCCCCGAACTGGAGTTTCACCAAAAAGAAACTCTATTAAATCATTGCCTCACGACAGAGTCCTCTTATCCTGGAGTAGCGCCAATAATTACTTACTAGTAGTGTTAGACGGAATTTCGTAGCAATTGACCTACTGACAAATACGAATTATATATCAAGATTGATATGATGACATTATCATGAAACTTCTAATTGGTAGAGCTCCCGATGCTTCCAGCTGGTTTTCAGTCGACCTGGAGGGGCACTCACAATACTGAAAGTATTTAATTTTAGATGAAAGCTCTGGTGAATTTTATGAGTCAAATCTCCATGGCTGAAGAGTAATCAAAAAGATCGATTAAATTGCCTTCTGATCACTGAGGCATGAAGTACTGGATGTTCACAAGGTTATGCCCGCAATCGAGCACTTACCTGTTTATTTTTTGCTGGTCGCCCTGGTGGCCCAGGAGGTCCTGGAGCTCCAGGTGCGCCATCCATGCGGGTCTCTCCTGGCAGTCCCGTGTAACCGATGACACCAGGTAACCCGGGAAGGCCAGGCTTGCCTCCCAGACATGCGGATCTCTCCATCCGGGGAGTCAAGATACCCCGCGCACGCGCGCCATCTATCCCTTCACACCCCCACCCACTCGCCGACGCCCCCACGCACTCATTACCGCCCGGCGACTCCGCCCAACTCTCATATCGACCCCCCTCCATTTGAGGTGTGTAGATTTCAAACCATCTAAAAGTCCATTCGGCCCATCCTCTCGCTCTCCATCACCAGTCTTCAGGCGGTCCGTACCGTATTACGATATCCCCTGGATAGCCTCGAGGACCATCAGATCCAGGTTGTCCCGGCCGTCCAGCAGGACCACGATGACCGCGTTTTCCTGAGAGAAGACCGAAATTTTATCGCAAAAACAATGCACTCGTTCTATAGGATCAAAATTCACCCGTAACACCTCTTTCACCACGAGCTCCAATTTCGCCTGGTGGACAGTCGTAATAACTTCCCAAGGCTTTCATCAAAATGATCTCGATTAGATTCAAAGGCATAAAGGCAGGAGAACACTTGTAGAAAGTTCTTACCATTGGCTCACTAGGATGAGCGTCATAGCCGTCGTAGCCATCGGCACCATCGATTCCATCAATTCCGGTATCCGTCAGGTCCCTCTTCCCCAGGAGGCCCAGGAGGTCCAGCAGGGCAATAGTGCTCAGTGTGACATGCTCAAACACAAGAATATTTTTGACCGTTTCCAATGCCACTTACCAGATAGAAGCGTTATAAGCCAAAAGCACAAAGATGGAGCCTCCAATCACCACCTGGTACAATAAAGCTCTAGATATTTGCCTCAGTCATAACTTTCCACTTCCTTAAAGCCACGAGTCAGGATTAGGTGACCATAGAAGGCCTTTCCATCACTAATATTTCCAGGAATGCGCTCAGAGGGGTGATGCCACACTCCTGACTCGAGATTGCGCGCCGTCAAGGCCTCTGGCCTACTACTTACAGCGATGGGTTCGTTACATCAGCTGGTCCCGCCCACCGCGGGATGTGGTGCGTGGCTGGCCTAACGTGTGAGATCAGCTAGGTTGATTGCCGTATCAACCGATGGAACGGCTGGCATATCCGGAAAACTCGTTTGGACGTGGCTCTCCCCCGAGCAAGCCTCCTTCACTGCTAGAAGGAAGGGGTTTCGATTTCGGTCTTGTCGACGGTTTCTTTGCGTTTTTTCTTCACTGTCGTTCCACCTCCCATCTCTACACTCAATTTCAGGCGCCATAATGCCCAAACACGAGCCTGACTTTTGCCTTTAAGTTATCCAGATTAGATATGCCTAGAATTTTTCTGCGATAATCTACAGCATGCTCCAAACAAAGGTGTATTATTTGCTAAATTACCTGTTGATTTATGACCCTCTATTTCCGCTGAAGAATTGTGAATTAGTGCCGGATAGGAGGTACGGTGACAACGAATATTACAACATATTTTCCATAAAAATGCTGTATTCGCAATATTAAGTTCGCTGTAAGTGAAGTGATTGTCGCTCAATGGAGAATTGGGCATGCGTCATGTATTTGCACACCCAGTCGTACTCACGCACACACACACACAGAGACAAATTTCTCGTTGAATCTATCCTTAGTAACAAAATTCGAGAAAAAAAAAACTTAGTCATATTCTAAAACCTGAAGCGGCAACCTGTAGATAGTAACTTCAAATAGCATACATTATACGAAGTTATACGAGATAGAGGGGGGGCGGGCTGCAATAACCAGAAGATTTTAGGGTTCTCTATTCCAGTTAGGAGGGGCATCATGGTGCGGTGACTCCCAAAAAGCTACGGTAACTCAAGCTAAGCCAGGGGGGAGTGTAGCCAGCCTAGGGGGGGGGGGGGGAGGCAGTCACTTGACATGCGTGAGAAGCTGGAATGTTCGAGTTTACATTAGCTCGCCGAGAAACTGCATCATGATGCCCCCCCCCCTAACTGGAATAGACCGGACATTTTGTCTCCACTTTCCAGATGGATTTAAGCACATTTTGCTCAATTCAGACCGAATGGTCCCAACTTATTATTGAAAGAGCGCATTCCATTCTATAAGAAAATCTTCATAGTGGCCACCTACGTGGACGGCATCAGAAGAATTTGCCCTGGAAACATGGTGCACTGGTCGAGCTCAATGGGGTCTTCGAAGGATCGTGTACCATAACGACCTTTACTGAAAAGCGAGTTTCGAGGGGATTTGCATAGTGGGAGCTAATGCCTCTAGAAACTATCCAACATTGAATCGATTCACGAAATTATGTAAGAGCTTCAGGCTGAAGCAGTTACGGTAGGCCTCCTTGAGCTTGACGACGGTGACAGATGACGTCATATTCTGAAGACGGTGAGGGCAGTGAAGGAGGGCCTGCGTACTTATAGAGGGACATTTAGGGAATACTCGCTGAGGAACTTCCCGTCAACGACGGCAATCTCTGCGAAGAAAAAAGGGCCGAAGTGCGACATGGGCAAAATGTCTTTTTTGCCCCCCCCTCCTGTATATGTAGCTTCAGGAAAAACCCTTACCGCATGGCAGGTCCACGAGTGAGCGAAGTGATAAGGCATATTCCTCACTATCACGCATCGATTCGGCGGTCACTTCCTGTTGTACTTGCCTTCTTAGCTTGTTTGGCAGTGCAGATGATTCCGACAACAGGCTCATCTCTTTCCAAAGGTAATCGGTTTCCTCCTGCGTTCGTAAGAGATTGTTCATAGAATTCGAACCAAGGAAGCACATGAATTATGAAAAAATGAGATGTAAAGCTCGAAAAATCTTATCATTTTACTGTACCTTCAATTCAATCAATTCCAGGTTCATTTCTTCCTCAATGAATGCTATATAGGAGAAGAGTAACAGTGTCGTTGAAATCACCGTAATCACTCCGGATAGACCTGCTATAACTGCACACGTTGGGAAGCGGTGCTTCATCTGAACTGTCTACTAGATCTTGATTTAATTAAGGCCGCGTTCATAGTTCGCGACTCGGGAGATTAGGATAGTAGGCGACAGGATATTAGGATAGTAGTAGAGTAGGAGATTGCGCTGACAAGATTGGATACGTATCGATTGAAATCGCTGGAGAGTAGTAGATTGGGCGACTTCAAGCGAATAGATCAATACATATCTAATCTTGTCAGCGCATCTATCCTAATCTACTACTATCCTACTATCGTAATATCGCAATCTACTACTCTCCGCGATTTCAATCGATACGTATCTAATCTTGTCAGCGCAATCTCCTACTCTACTACTATCCTAATCTCCCCGTCAATACATATGTTTTCATTGTCGCGTACTATCCTAATCTCCGGAGTCGCGAACTATGAACGCGGCCTAAGGTAAGCAGTTGTGATACGTATACCGCAATGGATAGAGGAACTTTACATCACATGTACACCACATACTAGTTCAACTACCAGCTCAAGTATCCGACAGTACCATACCTGGAGTTCATCACAGGGTGAAACAAACATTCCTAACCATGAGAAATCTACTTTGAGCAAAGCACACCCTAGTTATCTCGAAAAATTGTGGTGGTGTTACTACCGCATGTTATGTTTGGGAAGCGAACCCGCAAGACATTTGCCTGACAAACTAATAATTCATTACCCTTCCTGTTGGGTAACTAGTCATCGGGTGTTTTCTAAGGGGTAAGAAAAAGGCATCAACGGACTTCGCAAGTTTATAGTTTTACAAAAAAATAGACGACGATGCAACTCAAAACAACATATGAGTTACGCAAATGCTCAGTCTTTAAGGCATTGCCGGGTCAAAATTGGTGTGTATCGTTGCGCATAGAATACGAGTGGCATGGTGCGAATTTGCCGTCAAGTAAATGAGGAAAGGAAGAGAAATCAGTCAAAAACGCTTAGATTAAGGAGATTATCATTTCGGCACTTTTAATCGGCTATCTAAGGCACGAAGAGAAATAGAGACGCGAGAAGGAGAAAATTAGGAGAGATAGCCAGGAGAGGAAAGAGGTGCCAGGCACCAGCGGCGGCAGTATTACGAGGAAGAATTGAAGCTGATTGAAGCTGAGATTGAAGCCATCGAGCTTGTGGTGTATTGCGCGTGCACAGGAATGCACGATAATGTTGTATTATAGGGGTGTTACATTACAGACTGAAGAAGAATCAGATTCACAGACTATACTGACTGATTTGTGCCTTTATTCATCAAGTGGTCATAGTAGGATACTAGACTTGTCGTACTTTTCAATAAGAAGATGTTGACTAGCAAAAAAAAAGTGAAAAGTAAAGTTTGGTAAATTTCATGGGAGGATGCGAGCATTTTTTCAAAAAAAGTTGCACATTGATCTGGTTTGGAAATAATGTCTCGAAGCTAAACGATGTGCATTAGTTTTTTCATCAGACATTCTTGTCCAGTTAGTTCGAGCGGGAAGGGGGTGGGGGAGAGGGGGCAGAGACTAGATATGGAAAGGACGAATCGATATGAAAATTAACCCTTAAGCTGTATCCTGGCAGTAAGCGTCTTCGCCACGGAAAATTACTTAAAACCTGTGACGATGTTTTTCTTGTGACAAGACGGAGGTAGCCAGTCATATCACTGAATGAGGGGGCCGCGACAATTATTTGGGAACTCCTAGACTGTGTGTAGCTAGCCCTCTTTGAAGAGAGTTCGAATAACCGTGTTAGGTTTTGTCTAGCACTATAAGGGAGGTCTTTCAGGGCAAGCCACGCTTTTCAAAGAGGTTCCTTGCATATTGTAGGGACGCATGTAGGGAACACAAAACCATGTTTCATTTTCGCTGAACGGTTTATAGCAGTACCAAAAAAGAAGCAAAGGTACTGTTAATGATTCGACTCCCGGTGGCGCTAAATTTTGCATTTAGGTTTGTCAGAACCAAACGCAGCCATGATTCGTGACAAAGGAAGCGTGCTGTCGTGACTGCAGCAACACTGTGAAGCATTCGCGCACCCAATTCGAGCATTCTTCTTGCAACCACACTACCAACTGCTTTCATCTGCGCTTCCATAACGTCTGAGCGCCAACGCGTAATAACTTCGGTCTTTGCTTAGCCCATGGTCAGAGTTCGTTGGGGAGAAATATCTTAACACCGTCCGGAGATCATTCACGCAAGTCACTTTCCACCTTTATTCTAGAAGAAATTCACGCAAGTCACTTTCCACCCTTATTCTAGAAGAAATGGAGTATAAAACGCGTTCTAAGCGGATTTGGACAAAAGAACTTGAAGAAGTGCAAATGAATGTGTAACGCCAGAAAATGCAAATAGACGCTCACTATATAAGTTGTTCAGTAATTGGGTCAACTGGACGCCAAGTCCTCCTTAACGCTTCGTAAACTACATAAACACCCTCGAAACGATGGCGAGTACTATAAGTCCAGAGGTTTACGACCAGTAAACGACCAAGGAATGTACACAGCGAATTTTATGTGACTATTGTCGCGTAAGAAGAGGCGTAAGAAAAAAAAACCTCTGGCGTGCTGTTTAAAAGGAGGATTCATGGGGTTCGACAAGAATGCTGGGTTGTAAGGTTGTGAACATAACTTGTGGCGCACTTGCCCGAGAAGCAAGAGGTGCGGGTTCTAGTCCCGCCTGGGGCGAAAGTTTTGTTCACAACCCAGCATTCTTGTGAAACATTCGCAAGGCGAACTGCGGCCAAAACAGCAGTTAACAAACAAAAACTTCTTATGAAACATTTAAACTAACGGAAAACTTGTTTGTGGCATTCCTACAGTAGCCCACAAGAAGATCACAATGACATCGACCAGCCTGCTATGTAGTTATTTTTCTTCTTCTACTCCCTAGCGTTAATCCCACGCAGTCGCAGGGTCCGCTACTCATGCTGTATATTTATGTTATAGGTAGAAGTTAAAACACTTTGCCGTTGATCAATCCCTTTTTGGAATGCGGCACGCATTCTACTTCCATTCAGGTGGGGAGAAATTCGTGATAGTGGCTTTTGGAATGCGATATGGCCTATACAATATTTGCGGGGGCCAGCCGATGTACAGGACTGCGTTTTTAATGAAAGGCTTGGTCAGCCTGGACGGCACACGTTCCGGGATTCAATCCTTGGACCGCGCGAATCGTAAGCACCTTGCCACATAATACTGAATGAATATATAAAAAGTAACATGAAAAGAGCAAACTGACCAAGCAAAACTCATCACCAAAGAACCAACCGCTAGTTACGGTAAAGGAGAATTACAGGCAAAAAACCGCTAGCTCTCGTAAGCCGGATTTCGGAATTTGACATTTGACCCGAAGGACGATCCCAGCGATTTAATCAATCTATTTTGCCCCATATGTCAAGTGTCTTCTTCATTCTACATTGTAGTAAGAACGAACATCATTTTCGATATTTATTTCACTTCTGCAGATATTCACAGGTATAACACAAAATCATTACGATAATATCACGATATTCTAGTGTATACAAAAATAACCACAAATATGCTCTTCTGACGGTTTCAAGGGAGTAAGTGAACATTCTAATTATTAGCATTAAAGTAGCGAGTGTTTGTACAAAAAGGTTAAGATGGGTGACATAATTTGAACGATATTCGCTTATTACACAACATTATGACAACATATAAATATAGTACTAAAATTTATGAACAAAACATCAATCGGCGTCGCTCCACAATTCTCATGAGCTCCAGGAACGCCTGAATACAAAGAGAAATTTGATGAACCGTTTCCCAAACAATTAATGATTGAAAGTAGTTTTTTTCAAAAAATGCAATGCCTATAATACCTGCAACTGCTCCCCATAGGATGACATCTTTATCTCTCGCACACAGAGAAGGACAGAACAATGCCTAGCCTCGACCCAATCTAACAAGTAAAGACCTCAGAAGGGAGAGCTAATCATCAGACCACCAAGGGCATATGTGGCCTTGAATTAGCTTCCCAGGGAGCAGAATCCTCTCAATTTCCTCACTCTAGTATCCACAAGCAGTCTCAAGAATGTGGGTAGACACTGCATAAGATATAGGAATTCTACCTGCCACTCGGGAAACCCAGGTCTTGAATGTGGGTTTTCTGCACTTCGACAGCACTACTGATGGTGAGCACCAAAATTTTGGATCTCTTCGACTCACCTCATTGACGCAATCATTATTCCTTGCTGAGATCTCAATAAATGGGCAGCCCATGTGTCTAGCGAGAGTTTGCCCTTCAAACGCCGTTACACGACGCTTCCTATGCTGGTCCGATTTGGAGCCAACCAGCACTATTGGAACCTAAATGGCATGATCTTAAATTTACATATGTTATAAATAAGTATTACACTACTAATCACCACTAAAAATATAATAGATTAACTCACAAATCCTCAAATATAGCCGAAGGGCGATAAATATTAACTGAGATTTCAAAACATCATATTTTAACTTCATTGGAAATAGGATCCACTCAGAACTCAACACACACCTTGCCTCCTCTGGCTCTTTCAATTGCGGTGAAGATGTCGGCAGCCTCATAAAACGACTCACGATCGGTGATTGAATACATTATGACAAATCCTTGAGAAGTTTGAATGCAATGCTCGCTATTCTGAAAGAAGATTAAAACTTCATTTTGTACAGTATCCCACAAGCGGTATGTAAAAAGACCCTACGTACATCAGAGTCTATAATATCGATCATAAATGTGTTGCTGAGGCTGGCTTCCGTACGTTTTCCTAACAGATCGCTGAACAGAATATCATTCCCATACTGTACCCGAGTCTGAAAAATGTTATCGGTAGTCAGACGAAGTGATACCTACTTGCTCTCTGGCTAACCAAATTTAGCAGCTCTTTCAGCCACAACTTAAGGACAACTTACCAGGCTAGTTTTTCCCACGCCTGATGCACCCATCACACCAATTCTGCATTCCCTTATGCGTTTGCAATTGTAGTCGTCATCGGATAAACTGAAACACTATGAAATGAAAATACAAATAGAAGCTTTAACCCTGAAGAATGCTTCGAACAATCCACATGATGAGGAATAAAACAGGAAACGACTTTCATGGCAGCTCTAGCTTGGCATCAGCCACTTACAAGCCACTAGACTTTCAAGCCAAAGAGTTTACAATATCAGAAGTCAACTTACAATCCCACAACAATCTCCTCCTCCCTCAGAAAAATAGTAGCTAGCAAGAAAAAAATAGACTCAGCTACTGCATCTTTATGAAAAGACTTCACCACACCAACCGCTCTTGTCGAAGTATGAAAATCATACCAGGAAATTTTGCAAGATTTGATAACTTACCCGTCATCATCAATGTTCTCTCTGTAAGCTGGATTTTCGTGTTCGGTCATTTTCTCAGCTTTCAGAGTGCGTAAGAATACTGCCAGTTCTAGATTAGGTACTGGAGGTGTCTGAAACAATAACGCTAATAATTTTATTACAGCAACTGGTATTAAAAACTACGCTAGGGATTGACATACCGTCTTCGGACGTTCGCCGCATACGATACATTGAGGCGATTTATAGGCAAGGCCAACTGACCGAACAGAGGAGACAGATCTGAAATTCTTGGCGCTAAAAGTACTGCAGTCCTTTACTGGAATACAAACTTCAAAAACTTTGAAAACAGCACAAAATAAGTGTTACAGAACTAACGGTACAGTCAAGTCAGACTACAAAATAATTATCACTGCACTATCAACCTTATAAACATTAGGTCAGCGAAAAGAAATAGAAAACGATGACACTCACTGGAAACTGCTCTTTCTTTCGAGTTGCGTATAGCTCACGCTGCTCAACCCCATGCGAATTCTTGAACGGCGTGGTACCGTGTTTGCGCCGTACGACTCCAACAGAGCAGTGCAACATTTCGAGCATAAAGAGTGGCCGCATTGAAGAGTGACCGGCTGAAAACATGACAGCTATCTCACTATGATTGTCAATATTCAACGTACTGGAGGGGACGTTGATGAAGAGCATAAGAGGAAAGCCCGGCACATTATGGGAGGATTCTGGGCTCGCCCTGCTCCCTATCAGTTTGCATCCGTTTTCTAAGTAAAGAACGCTGAATCTAGAGAGGACTGAATCCTCGTTGAGCACGAAATTACTGCATGTGGCCTAAAGAGGCTCCAGGAATAAATGAGATAGAATTGCACAGAAAGCTGTAATTTGAAAATTAAAATAATTATTTATAATTATTAGACGTTATCGAAGTCCCTAGTTCTAGATTTAACTTTACCCAATTTTGACGGCTGAACCCCATTTCCTAGTTTTCCTGCATACAACGGTTTCCAACACTTAAGAAGCGTCGCCGATTAATATATTAATACGGTACTCGACACGCGCCTCTTCAAAGAATCAGACAATGCCACTAGGATGAGAAGTGGTCAAGTAAGACATAAGCACATGCAAATCAGGGTCAGCACCGGGCCTATGGAAATCGATTTGGGTCGCCTTGCTTAGAAAAAAATCATCCGATAGATCATAAGCTGGCATGCGTTGGTTCAGGTACTTTTCTTAACAACACTTTTTTTCTGAAATTCACAAGCGACTTTTCAAAACTGTGATTGCATATTCTGGGCCGAGAATAAACTAAGCGTCAAAAATATTTTCATCGCAACATAGACTTTCATATCCTTAGTGCATGGAAACTAAGCCAGTTGAAAACAGCGTATTGCATTTACAGCCGCTAAAGTGATTGTATCGTGACAATGTCGATAGAAAACGCCAATCTTTGGCGACAAACTTCAGAAAGAAGAATTTTCCGCTGGACACCTCTGCACTTCTTTATCTACTGAATGGGAAATCTTAACGTTATGATCCTCTATAATAACTAGAACAAAAAACAAAGTAGAATATGTACTACATTAAAAAGTTATTCCTATAACATCAGATACGCTGGGTATTCGTGGATTTTATCCCATTTATTTGGTCACCTACCCGGACAGTCTACTAGACCTTCGGTAGCTGAGCACGCAACCTTGTCCTATTGCGCACTCACTTACCATGACAATCTCCGATGTCGTTTACGCAATTGAACGCTAATTGGCATGAGTCACAGAAACCAACGAATGTATTGGATTATAGTCTGCGACCTAATTGAACCACTTGTCGGTGGTATGTGCAGGATGAGGTACCTTCGGAAATGAGGATTTGGCGAGGGAAACCCTCAGAACAAAGATCTGAAATCAGGCGTAATAA